GAAACTACCATCAGAGTGAACAGGCAACCTACAGAATGGGAGAAAATTTTTGCAATCTACTCATCTGACAAAGGGCTAATATCCAGAACCTACAAAGAACTCAAACAAATTTATAAGAAAAAAACAAACAACTCCATCAAAAAGTGGGCAAAGGATATGAACAGACATTTCTCAAAAGAACACATGCATACAGCCAACTGACACATGATAACTAATATTTTAAAGGAAGCCACTTTGCACTAAACATTACTTCATTTAAATGTGAGAAATATGAAATTGTCTAAGGAAAGACTTGTTGGCAACACAGTAAAGAAAGGTTGATTGAAATGAGAAGTGTGAGGACCAACAGGGAAGACCAATGTGGGCCTTTATATAAAGAGCCGCTCTGCCTGGTACAGTGGATTCTCCACATGCAAATTTGCAAAAACCCTTGGGACACCTAAGTTTCTCAAGAGATTTACTTTTTAGCCACACATTAACTGAGATCATTTTTATTCATTATTAATACATTAGAAAAAGATAAGCATGGCCATGTGTAGAGAGATACAAATGAAAATCACTTAATCATTAACATAAATTAAACAGAACCAATTACAGGATAATCCAAAATCAAAGACAGCACTGAAATTGCAAACTTCACTATAATTTGACTATCTATCTATCTATAAAATGGTTACAGCCTTGCAGGCTAATTTTAGATATTTTGTAAAAAACAGACTAGTAGGAAAAAAAGACATGATGACAAGAGTAGGAACCTACAGACCATTAATAATTTGTTATAAGTTGGTTTATTTCTCTCTAGTCATTTTTTTTCCATTTTATAGGTATTTTACATACACATATAATAAATATATATGTAGTTATATAATTTATACTGTTTATCATTTAAATGAAACAGTTATATTTCTAAATTATAAAAAACTCATCATAATTACAATTTTATGGTTAAATTTGCATTTTGACTTACTAAGCTATTCCTCAAATGTTTGTCATTGAAACAGTTTCCACTTTTTCTCTCAGTAACAATTCTATAATAAATATTTTGCACACAAAATTTTGATATTTTCTAACTTTTTGCTGAAAAACAGTATGTCAGAGACTATAGCAATATTAAGACCCTGAATATATTTTATACTGTACCTTTGCTGAAATAGGCAACACCAATTTTCTTAATTTGGTTACTTTAATAGCTTTGTAAAAAAGGTATCCTGTGGTTTTGATATAAAGCATATTCTCTATAATTATGTGCAATGATGCCCTAAAGTAGGTACTCAATGGCCATGATAACTTTGTGAATCTAGATAGCAGTGCACAAGAGTTTATAATCGCATGAATGTTTGGAAAGCACATTTTGTATCAAGAATTTCAAACGTATATATCTGTTGCCCCAGCCATGTCACTTATGATAATTAAGCTTCAGGATATAACTCAACAAATGAGGAGAGATTTACATCCACAGACGCTGAGGGAAGTGAGCACTTGAACCATGAAAATCCTCTGTGGTTCCAATATGCTTGGCTGTGATTATAAGGGCTCAGCTTTTTGCCTGGGTTTATGGAGGGTTTTGCTTTTTACATTTTGTGAATTATATTTGCATGTCCTTTTCCCCAGGTACTAAAAGTGTCTAGTTACAAGTGATTTGGCAGCTAAAGTGAATATTGTTCTGAGAATAATACTTTGGTATTACTAACAAATAAAATCAATAAAGTTGCAGTGCACGTTCTTTTTCCTAAGGGGTTAGAGTCCTGTTTCTCAACATCACTTCTTTAAAATTCTATTGCCACTTTAGTTCCCAATTATCTAACAATATCTATTTAGAAAACAATCAATGCACTTTCTGGTGTTTCCATGATAAATTATATAAATGACCAAGTTTGAATCAGGAAAATGACTATATTTAAGGTATTTTTTTACTAGTATAGCATGTACACATATTTTATCATTTTGACTAAGTATTTACCAGGACAGTAAGCACGTTGCTACATTCAATAATAACAAAGAATGTAACTAATAATTACTGTTTATTGCATAATTAGAAAGCAATGTGATTCAATATATCACATTTTAAAAAGATATCCAATTATTATAAGTTAAATAAGAATTATAAGTGCCATCACAAAGTAAGTAACAGGCATTTATAAGTAATACTGTATGACTAATAACAATCTATAAAGGTAAGTTTTATAAACCTTTAATATTTTCATTGTAAATCATTGTTGAGCAAACACTTAGGCTTATTGACAAGGAAGATAAACAATTGGGATTAAGTTAATGTTTCCTACTATTTAAAGTTTGTGCCAACATCTTATGTAGTTTAAAATTTGATACGCATATATGGATATATGTTATCCATATACAAAAATATTTGTACCTATATACTGCTAATTTAGGAAAAGTAAGTAAAATATCTATATTGTTCCTTTGAATTTTCAGGAGTTTTAAAAGCAATTGTTACAATTTATGAACGCACTATTTCTAATTTTTAAGATGTCATTGTGCCTCCTCAAGTTCATACCATAATAGTTATTATATATAAATATTATATATAATTCTATGTGGTTGTTAAAATAATGTGACAGGTATTTACTCTGGAAATAAAGAAATTTCTAAAGACAAATAGGCATTATTTGTATTACCTGAAAGTACGTGAATTGTGAATGATAAAGATCTGGATATACATGAAGAGTAGTTCCAATTACGAGTAGTAGCTCGAATTTGTGGAGAGATGAGCTAATGTATCCAGTAAATCCCAAACACCATATCTTCAGAAGTGCTTCCAAATCAAACAGTACTGTAAAAGCCACCTAGAGACACAAAGAAACATTGAAATTGAAATTCAAAACTATAATTTATTCTAAATTATTTCACATATTTGTCAGTGTATGAATTTTTGCCAGTATCATATACACTAAGGAGCCCCATAAAGTCAAGAATGACATTTTACTTTTAAAATGCATTTGAAATACACCAACTAGAACACAGTAGACCAAAAGAATCTTAAGCAATTATAAAAACATGTTACAATTTTGAATGTTTGTGAGTGGCTTTCTTTATTATCTATATTTGATATTATTTTAAAACCATTATTATTTAAAGACTTTCTACGTGCACAAAAGGCTGAAATTTTTTGTATGTTGTATTTTTTAAAGATAAAATTTCTTTCATGTACATGGCATATTATAAAATAACAACTTACATATTTCTAACCACAATTAAACCAAAATTTAAAAGTTAAAATATCATTTATTCCTTTAAGCTTTAGGCCACATGGCAAAAGAGAAACTGGGATTTCATATCAAGCAATTTATCTATGTGTGCATTTGCAAATAAATCAATGTTACTTCATTATCAATAAAATTAATGATCAGTATTACTATATTAATACATTTACTTGATCTTTTAATCTCTCACATGCATTCTATAAATTCACTATTCCAAATAATATTATAAAACACACACATAAAGACAGCATGTTATTTTCCTTTACGTGTCCTATGAAGAAGAATTTTCATTTTGTAAAGGAGACTGCAACTGGAATTAAAATTTGCAATAAAAGATTAACTTCTAATTAAAGACTATGAGGGTGACTATTGGGATTAGTCATAATAGGTCCCTGTGAGAAGACACTACATGATTTATTGAAGATAGGAATACAGCAGAGCTTGCTTCTCTTTTTCTAGGCTAATATGGGGTATCAGAAGGGATTTTCTTCCACTCACACATGGAACATGTGGGGAAAATGCAGTTTTAATAATAGTGTTTTAAGAAATGAAACATTAAAGGCACTGTAGATAGTTAATTTAGATGTGAAGAGGAAATTAGCATCACTTCTCAAATCTACCATTTCTGTAGATTCTAGTTGCTTTTTAATTTTAATTGCCATTTTCCTCCTCAAAAATATAAAAAGGTAATATATTTTAAATTTGAAATGATCTTAAGTCCACAAAACACGTGGATGAACTCCCTTGCCCACGTTTCTCAGGTATTTCATGTTCATGTCATGTATATTCTTTCCTTGATCATCTGCATCTTCATCTACACATATGTAATTACATAAACAGGCTTGCAATTACATGTTTTTACATGAGATGTAAAAACAAGTGTTACAATTTATGAAAGCACTATTTCTAATTTTAAAGATGTCATTGTCTCTCTCAAGTTCATACTTTCTATACAATTATTCTGTATAAATATTATATACAGTTCTATGAAGTTGTTAAAAATAAGGTGACAGGTATTTACTCTGGAATGAAAAAAAATTCTAAAGAAAAATAGGCATTCCTGGCATTACCTAAAGTTATGTGAACTGTGAATGATAAAGATCTGGGTATGCAAGAAGAGTATATGTCACTCTGCAACTTGCTTTTCTGACTCACTAACAATCGTGGATGTTCCTCCAGATTAAGGGATATAGGTCCTAAGTTTTATTTATCAGCTGTATAATTTCCCATAGTGTTCAACGTTTATATAACTCAACATTTTCTCTACTAATTCATTGATGGGTGGTATTTGCGGGAATCATCAGGAAAGGTGGTTAAGCACTTTGCTACTTCAATAAAAAGGTTGCACTAAGCATCCTCCCTCAATACCAGTATGCATTAAGGCTTTCATATCTATTAATATATTTCCAAAGTTGGTATTACTGGGGCAAAGACAGATTTGTGTGTTTTAAATTTAGAAAATATTAAAGTGATTACTTTCAAAATATTATAAATTATTTGCCCTTCCACAATACAGGAAAGTTTTCTTGTCTCAAATCCATGCCAGTATCAGTGTAATCAAACTTATTGTTGCTCATCTGTTTACATGTTTATTAATCCCTTTAATTTCTTTTTAAAGTAATTAAATATTACTGTTCATAACCTTGACACTATTGTATGGTGTTATTCGCTATATACACTGCAAACATTTTTTCCCCAGCCAACAGTCTGGTTTCTAACTTTGATATTGTTAGTGCACAAACATAAAATTTACATGTTCACATATGTCTACAACTTTATGATTTTTTTCTTTATCTTTTACATACAAAATAGAACTTTAAGAAGATTAATACTAGCTTTCATATCCAGGAATACACTTTTCCTATTTATTTGAACTATATATTCTTTAATAAATTTTTTCCATATAAATATTCTTTCTATCTATCTATCTATCTATCTATCTATCTATCTATCTATCTATCTATCTATCTATCTATTTTTCTTTTTTACTATTTCTACCTAGTTAGTTCCAGTGGGAAGAAAAGCTATTGATTTCTCTATATTGACCTTCTATACCCACTTTACTAGATTCTTCTATTCTAATATTTTTCATAAAGTCTCATGAGTTTTATAGAAATATGCACATTTCATCTGGAAAGAAAATAAGATTATTTCATTTTTAAGATTTATTTTTGGAGTTAATAATATGAATGCATTAGTTATAAAGGTACAGTTGTATAAAGGTTACTAAATACAAAATGGTAATAATAGGAATCCATAACTTGCTCCTTGTTTTCAATGAAAGTTTCTTCAGCGTTCATATATAGTGGTTGAAATGAGTCTTGGTGATTAATTTTTACCATGTTTAAAGACTTTCCTTCCTCCTATTCTTCTTCAAAGGATTTAACTTTCAATTCACTGAGGCAATGAAATATACCACAAGAGTTCCTGATGTTAACCATTTATTTATTTTTGGAAAAAAAACTCTAGATGATAACGCTAACAAGTTGGATTTTATTGGGTAATATATTTTATTTATAATTTTCACAGTTACTGTTATATGTGAAATTGGCCTATAATTTTACTTGTATATCATTATCAGGTTTTGGCTGAGATTATGCTAGCTTTATCATTTGTACTGTACAGTTTTCTATCTTTCATATGATAATCTCTGAAATAAAATAAGAATTAGCACACCTTTAAAAGCAGACAGAAAGCACCAGGAAACCCACAAGGGCACAGTCCTTTCGGTGATGGTGGAGAGAAGCTTTCCACTGCTGCTCAGATCAGGTTTCTTATCCATCAATTTGGCAGTTTGTGTTTTGCCAGGAAGTCATTAATTGTCTCTAGATTTTCAAGATCTGCATTTAGAGTACATATTTTTCCAGAAAGAATTGGTTCTTCCAGGGAACCTGGGTCATCTTAGAAATCTGGGTTCCCGGCCGGGCGCGGGGGCTCAAGCCTGTAATCCCAGCACTTTGGGAGGCCGAGACGGGCGGATCATGAGGTCAGGAGATCGAGACCATCCTGGCTAACACGATGAAACCCCGTCTCTACTAAAACAAAAATACAAAAAACTAGCCAGGCGAGGTGGTGGGCGCCTGTAGTCCCAGCTACTCAGGAGGCTGAGGCAGGAGAATGGCGTAGACCCGGGAGGCGGAGCTTGCAGTGAGCTGAGATCCGGCCACTGCACTCCAGCCTGGGTGACAGAGCGAGACTCCATCTCAAAAAAAAAAAAAGAAATCTGGGTCCCCCTTATATCAACTTTTGGCTGCTGTTTCTAGGTTCTGGACATAACGGGATTTTGAGTTCCAACCCCATGAGTCGGCAGCCTGTCTTACATAATTCAGTAGAGATAACATAACTTTTTTTTTCTTTTTTGAGACAGAGTCTCACTCTGTCACCCAGGCTGGAGTGCAGTGGTGTGATCAATCTTAGCTCACTGCAACCTCTGCCTCCCAGGTTCAAGTGATTCTCCTGTTTCAGCCTCCCGAGTAGCTGGAATTACAGGCACATGCCACCACACTCGGCTAATTTTTGTATATTTAGTAGAGATAGGGTTCCACCGTGTTGGTCAGGTTGGTCTTGAACTCCTGACCTCAAGTGATCCACCCGCCTCGGCCTCCCAAAGTGCTGTGATTACAGGCGTGAGCCACCATGCCTGGCCAGAGATAACATTTTTGATCTTCCAGGGGTCAAGGTCCAGACTGATGGTTCCCTCATCCTTTCCCTCTCAGGAATGGGATTTTTGCTTCCTGAGGTTATGTGGGCCCTCTCTTCTGCCTCTTCAGTTTGCACAGGCCTCTAGTCTCTTCTGTCCTGGACACACTCCCGAAAACTGCAAGTTCTGGTCACAAGGATATGCAAATACCCTCAGGGCAGCCACTGCCTTGGGGCCCATCTGGTATTCTGGACTAATGTCACATTTAATTTTTGGCCTCAAGAATTTTCCTTAATTTTTTGCACACTCTGCTGAACATTTAAAATGCTTTAATATTTCAGGTGTTTTGTGGAAACAATTTTTAGCTACCTTTCAGGGCCACTTTGTACATGCTTCCTATAGGCAGTGTACAATTTTATTTTGTGTTTAAACATACCCAGATTTTCTAGGGTTTTGATAGGAAAATTCAACCTACTCAAACAGAATGTACCAAAGTTATACTTGGTCTTAGGCTTCCTGTTTATTTTATGTCATTGCTATTTCATTTTTAACTTTACCTTGTCTTTTTTGTAACTTGGTCAACTATTTGCTAATTTCTTTCCCCCTTCATTAATTTGGGCACTCAACTTGGTTTTTCTAATCCCCTGGTTTACTTCTCAATGGTTAGACATCAAACCTACACTTTTTTCTTATTGCTTCAAAATTAAATTGCTGGCTCACTCATCCCTCCACCCCACACATCTGCAAACTTCACAGCACACTTCTACCATCCCACTCTCCATTGATATCACACCCTTTCTGAAGTCCTGGCTTTGCTGAAACAGTTTACAAATTTATTACTAGTTTCTTGAATATTATCATTTCTCTTTTTCTCAAAGATCCCTATTTGACATATTTAATATTATCTATTGAGATCCAATGCCCATCAATTCTCTCTTCTTCT